TATGTATGCTATGATCAAATCGGAGTGTTGACGGCTGGCCGAAGCAAGTTTTTGTAATATCGGAGAGCTCTTACCTCGGGTCGGTCGCATGACATGTTAGTCAATTGCGTCGATTGGGAAAGCTGTGGAAGAAATTACAGGTCAATTGCAAAATCCTTATGATTTTTAGTTAGTTTGCGAATTATTTCTTTTTGAGTGAAGCCACTTTTGTAATTGTTAAAAATGGACAAAAAGGAATCTCGCGTGTTGATAAAATTTTCCTTTTTGAAGGGAAAAATTACAGAAAACATTTACAAAAAAGTTGGCTTGCTGACGAGTTTCCGGACATGGTGTTCAATTGRCAGTCATTCGAGTAAACTACACACGATGAACCTATTCTAAAGCGTTGAAAATCGSAACAGTCGGCTGACTTATGTATGTATTTTGGAATGCGCATGGAATAAATATTTTTTTACGTACCTTGAAAAATGAAGGACTATTACTTTKCGTCATTCGAACGTTTGAAGAATGAAATTGCCCGATTTGAAAAAAAGTAAGTGCTGTCCCTGTAAGGCAATACACCGTGTTACAAGTAATTGAACACGATGGTAAAATTCCATGAATAGGGCTTTAAAATGCTTCCGCAGCTGCCAGTGAAAAGTGGGAGGGTCGATATATGTTGTATAAAAAAACGAATTTTGCCGAAAAAAWTAGTTTTACTGTGGTAGGCCGAAGTCTTTTCAATTGGCTCCTCAAGGTGGCATGAGACATAGTCCTGTTAAAAGTTAGCTGAAATAATTTTTAGTTTTTCTGTAACTTAGGTTAATTAGGTTAAGGTAAAGAGACAAATTTTTATACTTAAATATATTATCTTGAACTTGTTAATAAACATTTCAAGATTTATAAGAAGATGTTATACTTACCAAACGCAATTGATGATTATTTATACAATTTTTTGTAGCTAATTTGCGAAATGACAAAAACCGCTTTGTCGAACCAACTAAAAGGTGCTTAATCGCACAGATAAATTTTCATGCATCTCATACGCTTGTTTAACAAAAGTGTACGCAGCATGTAGAAAATATATGGTATAAGATGTAAGTTTACTGTTTTTATTAATTACTTCTTCTCGGTAGTGTTTCAATAACAATATAACAAAATAACATAATATAATCAGGAATGGTCATCAATGGAATATTAATTTACTAATTGTTTTTTGCTTTTATGCAAGAATTTTTTTACTTTAACATTTCTTGGAACGGATAAAAAATTGGGTATAAAGGAGAAGCTATACAACATTTACTAGATCGACGTACCATACATAGATTTTTTAAAACTACTCAACATAATGTAAAATGGTTTCCAGACAAAAATAGGCGCTGCCCATCAGATTTTTTGGTTATCTATTTTACTCAAGTTCTGGTTTTTACGCTCTTTGTGTACATTTTTTTATCAGAAGTGCTCGCATTTGTCGCTTCAAGGCCACTTAAACGAGAAATAACGAAATTATACAAAAACATATATTTTTGACATACATAGTATGTATGTTTTCTTTGTAGTAGCAGGCAAATGTACGTGTGTATGCATATGTGTTCGCACAAGCTTACTAAATTTGCAAATCATTAATGTATGTACATATGTACTATGTATATATATGCATGTACGGAATAAAGTGTGTGTACATCAATTGATTAAAAAAAATAAATATTCWTATACTAATTAACAAAGCAATTGTTGTCACCTTCAAGAAAGAACTTAACCAGTTTTTCCCAAAAACTCCAAATTATTAGCATTATAGGCCCCATAAAAATATTAATTTCGGCATAGTAGCACTAGCGAAGTTTTATAAATAAATTTTTACAATCAAAGAACTGTCCCTGTTCGAAAGTGCTTTTGCCGTTATCATCTAAGCTGATAACACCATAAACAAACTTTTCGAATTGTTTAACATAAAAATGCCCAAAAAATAAGGTGACTTTTGAATTTAAACTGCGCACGTCGAAGGATTTGGAGATTTTTTTTCTTTTAGGTTGGTAGTACTGTCAGTCATATTTATGTCAAATATCATGTTAAAATATTCATTAGTGTTTGAGATACGTGTCGTTTTGTGAACTGCTAAAAGTGAGTTTTGAGTTTGCATTAAATGATCATTTCGCCAAAAACTCAGCCCATATCGTTCCGCAACCACCGTATTCACCTGATCTGTGCATCCGTGCGACTTCTGGCTGTTCACCAAGCTCAAAAGACCATTCCGGGGACACCGTTTTTATACGATATTTAAGCCGCAGCGAAGACGGAACTGAAGGCCATCCCGGAAAGTGACTACAACCAGTGTTTCGAAGAAYGGAAAATCCGTTGGCCAAATGTACCACATCTAGTGAGGATGAAATTGGTTTGGAAGAATAAATAAARAATTTTAAAAATAAATTCAAAGGTCACCTTATTTTTTGGGCGCAGAGTATATATTTTACTATACTATTTCAGCCGAACTTTTCAGCTTTGTAATAATTCGCAATCGTAAAYTGAGATTGTGGACACATATTTCACCATTTCCGATTTTGGTTTACAGAGGGGACAATGCCCCTGAAGTTTTCGCAGGAGTTTTGGCCCAAAACTGTCAGACTAATYGTACTTCGTTACGCTGTGCTAACTTGTATTATAAATAACATTCCACCATATCTCTTGCGTGACCCACAGATTATTTGATA